ATGCTAACATGTTTGTTATCTGTCAGAATTCAGTCAGTATTTGGACTTTTTTCCCATGTTAAACTGAAATAATATTTAAAAATCAGTGAACTTTTTTTTTCAGTGGCCCTAACCATCCCCCGTAGATATGATCAGTGGGGCCCCAACCCTTTAAAAACTTTTTAGAGGCCCTTCAGGACCTTTGTTTGCAGAAAGTGGAGCTGATCTTCCTGCCTGGTTAAATGAGCGCAGCATGCTGCGCAGCATGGAGAGGATGCTCTGCTGGGAGCAGAGATGCTGAGCAGACAGACGCCTCTGATTGGTCAGCAGCTCCTCGTTACACAAACCCAAACAGCAGCGGAGGATGAAGCAGACGGAGCTCCTCATCATCACAGGCACTGCACGCGCCGCACGTAGCCAAGACATCTAAACCGGGACCGGATGCGCCAGCAACTGTTTGCTTTTTCCGGATAAACGGGTTCGATTCGTCCTCCTGGTAGCACCGCCAGACGCGCCATGGGCTCCAGGCTGAGCAGACAGAGCAGCCTGGATCAGGAGAATTTCTCCAAAAAGCGGCGCAGGCTGCAGGACGGCGCCGGGGAGGGCGGCCGGTCCGGGGGGGACTTTCTGTTTGCTCTGATGCTGAAATCAGACAAGCTGCCCGGGATGCTGCGGAGGGCCAACCACAGCCCCTACATGAGGAGGGTGGCCTGGATCAAGGAGATCCAGAAACTGCTCCGGGAGCGCAGGATCGAGCAGGCGACCGACGTGCTGAGATTACTGAGGAAGGTGAGGAGGGGGGGGCAACAAATGATGCACCATCAGGATTAAACACATGGATGATCACGCTGCAAAAATTATTGGAATAAGTGTATTTGCCCTTAATTTTATCTATTTTTTTTTTGCCAATAAATTAACATAATTAGATCTAATTACAACTTCAGATAAAATCACCCATTTGTTGTTTTTTTTATTAATTCCAACTTAACTCTTCTCATCTCATTGGCAAATAGTGTTACTCACCTGCTTGAAACAGGAATATATGCACTTATTTAAAAAAAAAAAAGACATATTTCATTTTTTTGCAGTGTATGATCTGGAGTAGCAGGTTTTCATGATGGAAAATACATTTTAATATGTCTTGAAATACAGATGCATTAATTAGCTTATTATAATCTCATTGACTCAGCATATATTGTTCTCTTCTTTCCTAAACAATCATAACATAACAATCAATGTCACCTTAAAAAGTTACAATACAATGGTCATGTTTCTTTGTGCCGTTCTTATGGTCTAAAACCACTTATTAGAGACAGCAGAGCAATGCATGTGTGCAGAAATGCAAAAAATGAGTGTGCAGACATGTGCAAACATTCCATCCATCCATTTTCCATTACGCTTTATCCCAATCGGGGTCATGAGGGCTGCTGGTGCCTATCTCCAGCTGTCAATGGGTAAGAGGCGGGGTCCATCGTGGACAGGTCGCCAGTCCATTGCAGGACAACACGGAGACAAACAGGACAAACAATCATTTACACACTCTCACAAGAATTTAGAGAAGCCATTTAACCTAACAGTCATGTTTTTGGACTGTGGGAGGAAGCTGGTGTTCTGTCAGATGAGCATATCTATAGTCAATACCCCTTTAAATTATCCCTTTATTTTTGTACAGAAAATACACTTTAAACTGCCTCATCCAGCGTGTATCC